GCCACTGCACTCCAGTCTGGGCGACACAGTGAGACTCCAACTCAAAAAAAAAAAAAATCAAAAAATTAGTTGAGCATGATGACACACTTCTGTAGTTCCAGCTACTTGGAAGGCTGAGGCAGAAGGATCACCTGAGCAAGCCGAGGCTGCGGTGAGCCATAATCATGCCACTGCACTCTAGCCTGGGGAACAGAGTAAGACTCCGATTCAAAAATAAATAGATATATAAAAATAAAAACGAGGCCAGGCGCGGTGGCTCAGCCTGTCATCCCAGCACTTTGGGAGGTCAAGGTGAGAGGATTGCCTGAGCCCAGGGTTTTGAGACCAGCCTGGGCAACTTGGTGAGACCTCATCTCGACAATAAGTCACAAAAACTAGCCAGGCGTGGTGGCATTCGTCTGTAGGGCTGGCTACTCGGAAGGCTGAGGCAAAAGGATCGCCTGAGCCCAGCAGGTCGAGGCTGCGGTGGCCGTGAGCAGGGCGCCGCACTCCAGTCGACACAGTGAAACGCCATCACCAAAAAAACCAAAAAAATTGAAAAGACGTAGCGAGTGTTTTGAATGAATGATTATGAGAGATGGGAGGATTCTCAACAGACGGTGTTATGATGCAAGCCGAAGATGACAGTGCTTTGGGTAACCTCTTCTGTGCTTTGTGCTTTCTTGTTGCAGGGTGTGAAGAAGTTTGATGTGCCCTGTGGAGGCCGAGACTGCAGTGGGGGCTGCCAGTGCTACCCTGAGAAAGGCGGACGTGTAAGTCACAGTGCAGGGCGTCACGGCGGGAGATGGGACCTTCCTCATCCAGCCCTGCCTCGCTTGATGGCAGGGATGCCTTCTAAGAAACGCTTGGTTGGGCAGTTCCGTCACTGGGTAAACATCAGAAAAGTTCTTACACACACCTAGATGGTCCACCCCAGGGCACCCCTAGGCTGTACGGTCTAGCCTGCTGCTGCTAGGCTATGCACCTGCACAGCGTGTGTCTGTGCTGAAGGCTCTAGACAATTGGGAGGCAGTGGTAAGTATCCGTGCGTCTACATATATCTAATCATATGCAGTAAAAATACGGTATGAAATTTAGAAAATAGTACACCTGTGTAGGGCGCTTACCACAAATGGAGCTGGCAGGACCATTTGCTCTGGGGAGTCAGCCAGTGATGGTGAGTCATCGGAAAGGACCAGGACGTGGCTGTCCACGGCTGTAGAACTTTAGCAACACTGTACACTCAGGCTACACTGAACTTCATTCAAAGTATTATTCTTTCTTCCGTAATAAATTAACCTTAGCTTATTGTACTTTTTTACTTCGTAAACTTTCAAACTTTGCAATTCTTTTGTAATAGCACTTAGCTTTAAGCATCCAGCTATGGAAAAATATTTTCTTCCATGATAGCTTTCTTCTATAAACTCTTTTTTCTATGTTACATTTATTTTATCTACTTTTTACTTTTTAATGCTTTTTTGTTGCAAACTAAGGCACAAGCACACATATCGGCCTCGGCCTACCCAGGGTCGGGGTTCAATAACCTGTCTTCCACCCCCACATCTTGTCTTCCTGGAAGGGCTTCAGGGGCCATGACACACATGGAGTTGTTATCTACTGTAACACCTTCTCCTGGAATCTCTCCTGAGGGACCTGCCTGAGGCAATTTTACCGTAAATTTTTTTTTTTCACAAATGGGAGTGCACTCTAAGATAACAATAAGAAAGTACAGTATAGTAAATACATAAACCTAACACGGTTATTCATCAGCAGGTATTGTGTACTCTGTATAATCCTGTGTGCTGTACTTTTATATGACTGGAAGCACAGTAGACGCGTCTACACCAGCGTCACCACAGACGTTTGAAGATGATGTTGCACTCTGATGATATGACAGCTGCAACATTACTAGGAGGGGACGTTTCAGCTCAGGGGCTCACCATCTTCCATGCGGTCTGCTGATGACCAAAACGTCATGCAGGTTTTGAAATGAACGCATCTTACATTGCTTGATAAAATCATGGCATACTTCGCTAAGAAATTTGATATCATTGTGTTCTCTTCCACCAGAACAAGCAATGATATAATGCAAAATTGGCTCAATTTACACCACCTTCCTAATACATTGAGAGCAATGTCCATTTTCACAAACCTCTTTTCGCTTGCTCTGTGTTATGAATGCGTATGTGTATACATATGTATATATAGTGAATGTAACTACGTTTTATATGGATATTATACGTAAACATAGGTTTCACTAAAATATGTAAAGAAAGACATGGTTGCATCTGCCCTGCAGTGTAGACTTACAAAATTGAGAGCTCTGGCCATTGTATAATTCTCACTTTTAAAATGACTCTGCTCATTCCCTGAATGACCTTGATGTAGCCCATTTCATCCATAAGTGAGAGGAAAAAAGGCTGCCCCAAAATGTCACCATCACACCTGGCAGAATTTGAAATACTGAGCTGACCCTGGGTTTGATATGTTTGCCTGAAGTGATTGGTCTCTCATTCTGGTGCCATGAAAGCTGATGTTTGGTCTTGGCAGTCCTTATTTGGAAAGTATGCTCTTTACATGTACAAGCCCATGGTGTGTGTGTTTAGGGAGTGGGAAGCACTATTTTGTTTTCAACACAGCCTCTGCGTTCCTGTTCCTTAGATTTCTGCACTTTCCTTTAGGACTTGTGCTTGTCCACACCTTCACTTGGCGAGTGCCAGGTCGTCAAGGCAGCTGTAAATTCTGAATTCTGGTCCACATTGCCCTGGCGTTGCTGAATCAGAAATGACCACAGTGCTTGGGTATCCCAGATGGAAACCGGAAGTTGGTTTTCATTAGTCCTTCATTCCTACCCACTAGGAAGAACAAGCCTCAGTTGGGGCTTGGCCCCCTGCCTGGGGCATGATACCTTTGTGTCCTCTGCCAGCTGAAATCCAGTAGGTGACATTTGAGATAGGAATCCCCTCTATAAATGGGGTCATCTTATCGGCTAACACGTGACCGATCATTACTTCAGTGGCAAAGATGACCAGGAGGCTTCCTGACCCTCCATCAAAGCTCCCACCCTACCTGGCATGCCCATGCAAGCTGCCGTCTCAGAAGAGTTCTCTTTGGTTTTAGAAAAATAGTCCTCTGCGTGGTGTGGGGACAACTTGATGCTTCAGGAATTGCTAGCTGAACATCACTTACCAGCATCTGACAAGGACAAATATTTTGTTAAGCATATGGGAACCATTTCACGGGATGTGAAAGTCCCCGGGGACCCGTGCTATATAGCTTTTCCCAGCATTGCTGTTTTTTTTTTTAAAGCAGGATTTATTGGGAAGACGGAAAAGCTCCCACAGTGGGAGGGGACCCGAAGGGGTTGCCCTACCAGCCTTGCTTTTGCAACAGTGGTGGACCTGCCTAACCATAGGCTCCCCACTTCCCAAGCTCGCAGCTGGCTCAGCCTTATATGGGTGTGGGGCAGATGGCCAAGTAGCACACACACATCTGCCAGGCCAGCCTGCTAGGCATAGCTTGACCCAGAGGACAAACGCGTGATCAGACAAACAGAACCCAAGCAGACCAAGGAGATGGTCCCTGTGCCTGCTCCTTCTCATTTGCTGTGATGATTTCATGCAGAACCAGCACGGTAAAATGCTCCATGGTGCCTTCAGAAGAATTCTGTTCTTCGGTAAAGATGGCTCATTCAGATTATTCCCGTATATAATGCCATCTGCATAGCCGCGGGCTGTTTGTGCTATGATGACAAAGATCTTTGCAGAGATTCTCGGCAGGAGTTGGCTGAGGGTCCCTAAGTGTCTCTGATGTCGTAAATTACAGCACAAGCATTGGGATTTTTCTTATTTCTCACCTTGGTTCTGTTTCTGTACGTTGTCAAGTAAAATGAAAAATCAGCACCTTCCGGTTAATTTGATTAGCGTGGATCATCCAAAATTCCCTGCAGACTGACTTTCTGTGGGTGATTCGGAGGGCTTAGCAACAGTCATCGAATCAAGCAGAGACTTAGCAGTTGTCTGGGAGTCTGCAAGAGGCTGAGGCAGACCATACCACACTCTGGGGCCTGGACTGCATGTGTGGTGCTCGCGTGGTCTGGAACCTTGCAAGGTCCCCACGCCCCCGTGTGCTGCATGGTGCCTGACACTGCCATTACACGGAGGCAGCACAGCCTGCCGTGGGGCCACACAGTTACCAGTCACCGGGTTGTGACGGTCAGCTCACAGGCTGCCATGTCATTCGGGGTAACCCTTGACCACTGATCAATAAGGTGGTAGGAATGCCTGGTTGTGAGGATAGGAAAGAGTTTGGTGATGCCATTGACCTTTTTCTGCACGGTGAATTCCTGAAGACTTGACCCCATGTCTTTCTGAAAATGTTTTATCCCATATTTTACAGAAGGTATTTGCTGCTAGGGCAATTGTATATACTTTACCAATTCTTTTTTATTTTTTATTTTTTTTTTTAGATAGAGTATCTGTTTCAATACTACCAACCTGGTATCTGTGGTTTAACAGATTTTCCCAAATGCATTTCTGCAGACAGGCTATTTCTGCCCTTGGTCTGGACCGATAGTATTTTCTGAAGTCCTGTAATGCATAAAAATAGCAGCTGGCCAGCATCTGTCATCGAAGGGCTGTGTGCAGAGCTTGTCCTTTCCCACAGTGTCCTAGGGTGGTGGCTGCATGGTTTTGCCCCGGTGCTGCCGCAGCGGCGTGGCAGTGCCTTACTGCAGGCCCCCACGCCTGTGCGCAGCCAGCCCAGCCTTATTTGGGCATGGTACCCCGGTTTGCCTGCTCCTCACCATGGCGACAGCCAACATCAGAAGCCATGTGTTCCTGGAGAACGTTTGGGCTCTGAGCAGAAATCACAGACATATGTGGATTCCGATCCCAGATGAATTCCCGTGTTGCCAAGTGAATGAGCTTTGTGTAAAATCCGTGGAGCCTGATTCTCCACACACAGGTGGTGGGGCATGGGTTCTCACAGCAGAGAGAGAACTGATTCTCCCAGGCAGAGTCACTGGCCGCAGAAACCATTCCCCCAAGCCATAGGACTGGGCCGTGACAAGGCCGGAGAGGTGGCCTGGCTGCTGGGCATGCCTCCCTCCCCAGGCCGAGCTGGGGAGAAAAGAGCCAGGACCCAGCCCACGTCTCGTCACCCACGTCCCGTCGTCCACAGAGGCGGACACTGACGTCAGGAGGGCGGTGGCCTGTGCACATCTCACTCCCAGTCCATGGCAGGGTCCGGAACAAAACTCAAGTTTGAGGACTTCAGACGAAGTCTTTTCCCAACACAACCGTCTTTTGTGTCCGTACTCCCTTCCCACACACCAGCCTGTAAGAGCGAGACTCTCAAGGAGGGCAGGGAGAGGATACAGGAGGGATGGAAGATTTCACTTTCCTTATGCAAGAGCTACAATTTCCTAGCTGATTTTCCCAGCACCTTTCAGTTGGTCAGTGGTTTAGACTTTGTTGCTGTTTGAGGCTCTGCATTTGAAACAGTCTCTACTAAGCACATTGGAATAACTGCAAATGAGAAGTCTTAACTCACCAATGCTGTGCAGGTGACACACCAAAGGAACTCACCAAACTAGCTCCTCAGTCTGCCCTCTCTCCTGTCTCTTTCTGTTCTTTTTCTTTTTTCTTTCTTTGGCACCACGGAGATGGAAGGCAGTTAGGATGGAAAGCACCAGAGTGAATTTCTGTTGCAGAACTTCCATCAACGCGTAGAGGGATTGCCACCATGTGATAGGACATTAATAGCCTCGAAA